CTTCTTTTTTAATAGATAACATTTTTTAAAAAATCTATAACAATTTATTGATTTTTCTAAAAATAACAATAATAATAAAAGGGGGGGATAATTAATAACCAAATTAAACCATAAATTGAATCTTCAAGGTCTCCAAGCCAAATAATAAGTGGTACTAAAAATAGAGGTTTCCTTAACTTCCTCCTCCGGAGAAAGGTGAGATTAGATACATAGAAATATATACATATACATATACATATACACACACATATACATGTGTATATATATATATATATATACATACACACACACACACACACACACATACATATATATGTGTGTGTGCATATGTGTGTATATACATATATATGTATGTATGTATGTATGTATGTATATGCGTGTGTGTGTGTGTGTGTGTGTGTGCATTCCAAAGAATCCCTCATCTTGGTATCAGGGAACATTTCTCTATGTGAGAGAGATATATATGAGATATATATATATGAGATATATATATGAGGGATTCTTTGGAATGCAGATAGAGAGAATTGATAAGAATAATGATCTGTTGTGACCTTGATGGAAGCGTACACTAGATGAGCTTTCCTGTATTTTGGCTCATCTTCCTTTCTTTCCCCCTTTTTCTTTTTCCTTTTCCTCTCAGCCTTCTTCTTCTTTCCTTTTTCTTTCCCATAGTGGCTTATGTTTTATGCCATGAACTTTGATATTTTTTGTAGTTCTTTAGCTTTTTTCATTATTATTATTAAGGAATTTTCTTTTGTAATTTTGGTTGTCTACATTTATATGTATTTGTTTAAAGCAAAACAATAAAATTATATAATAATTTAGAAAAAGAAATATATATATAAAAAATTAAAAAAATGTCTAGTAGCACCTTAGAGACCAACTAAGTTCTTGGTATGAGCTTTCGTGTGCATGCACATGGTCCTACTAGACAATTTTATTTAATTTTTAATATATTTCTACTGCATCAGACCAACACAGCTACCCACCTGAATTAGATACATAGATAGTGATGTAAAATCCTGATTCCTGAAGGCTCCTTATTGGAAAATAGAGAAGCAGATCCTAGGTCGACGGTCAGAGAAAGAACAGAAGGAAACCAGGGCAAAATCGAAGCAAAGCGGCAAAACGATGCCAGACCTTTATTAAAGAAAAGATCTGCCGCAGCAGGGTCTCACCGTGTCACGCAGGGAAACAGGCAAGACCCAGAACAAAAGAATCTCCAGGCTTTTGTACAGCTTACATCGGGGATAGGCAACCTAAGGACCGAGGGCCGGATCCGGCCCAATCGCCTTCTCAATCCGGCCCGTGGACGGTCTGGGAATCAGCATGTTTTTACATGAATAGAATGTGTCCTTTTATTTAAAATGCATCTCTGGGTTATTTGTGGGGCCTGCCTGGTGTTTTTACATGAGTAGAATGTATCCTTTTATTTAAAATATATCTCTGGGCTATTTGTGGGGCCTGCCTGGTGTTTTTACATGAGTAGAATGTGTCCTTTTATTTAAAATGCATCTCTGGGTTATTTGTGGGGCATCGGAATTCGTTCTTTCCCCCCAAAAAATATAGTCTGGCCCCCACAAGGTCTGAGGTTGAAAAAGGTTGCTGACGCCTTGTTTACATCAAAAGCTTTTCCCTCTCATTCATCCCCCTCCCTTCATAATCCCAGGTTACAAGTGCGTTGTTTTGTCACCTCAATATGTGTGAGAAGACTTGAGTGGTTGTTTCTTACATCAGGAAGTGAATGCGTTAATGGTTATATTTATTTGACAGGAACAGAGGTTATCAAGGCTGCTGCCTGGGGAGATTTACGTGAAGCGTGTTTCCTGTCTTAACGCTATGCATAACTTTGTAAGACAGGGCCTTTAATAAAAGTAACTTTTGCATTCATGTGGCTGTGTGTTGCGTCTTTCATTCTAGCATGGTCAGTTGCCCTTGAGCATTCCAGCGTAAGATAACGTGTCTGGGCATGTCTTGGTCTCAGACATTTTCTGCCCGGCTCAAATCCTTATTTCTTAGTTGCACCTTGAAAGGGATGTTGATTAATTCCTGGGTATGTGATGGTTGCGAAGACACAGTAGATGGCAGTAGTAACCTCATGAAAATGAAACATTAACCAACGACCACACATAGCTACAACTAGTTGATCTGAAATATACCGTATTTTTCGCTCTATAACACGCACCCGACCATAACACGCACGTAGTTTTTAGCGGAGGAAAATCCGTAGGCATGCCACCCGTAGGCATTCCCTCCATAACACGCACAGACATTTCCCCTTACTTTTTAGGAGGAAAAAAGTGAGTGTTATGGTGCAAAAAATACGGTACTCTGAGTTGAGTGTGGATTTCATGCTCTTTATTCAGCTCATAGTAGTGAGGAATGAATGTTCCCCCAAATATCTGCTTTATATACATTAGTTACACAATGGGCCGCACGTGATTGGCTAATTCTGGGATTCTCCCGTGGGCAAATCAGGTTGCGGATTCACTTCCACCTGGAGCTGGATTGGGTGGCTCCTGCGGACCAATCAGACTGCTGCATTGTTCTAGGACCAATCAGGCTGCTGCATTCCGAATCCTATCGTTCTAGGACCAATCAGACTGCTGCAGTTGGGATCCTATTCAACTCAGTACATAACACCCCTCTCCTCTAAGTTCCAGTCCTGCCCGGGAGGTTGCATTCATAGTCCTCAAGGTGCGCCGGCTGCCTACGTATGCGTTGCGGCCTGCGGATCAGGGGTTACATAACACGATCCTACACATTTTTTGATGGAAACAAAAGCTATAATAATAATGATGAGGAGGAGGATGATGATAATGACCTAGGGAAGATGGGGCTTCCCAACCTGAGGAGGTAGCCCATCTAGGCAAAGGAAAGCTCTTGATATTAAAATTCTGCTGCATTGTGGCATATCTTTGGGAGAAAAAAGGCTAAGGAGTGAACCCAATCTGAGTCCTGAAGATGGTTGGATGGAACCTTGTATGCCTCCTTCCAGCAACTGCTACAGCTAAAGGTAAAGGTAAAGGTAAAGGTACCCCTGCCCGTACGGGCCAGTCTTGACAGACTCTGGGGTTGTGCGCCCATCTCACTCAAGAGGCCGGGGACCAGCGCTGTCCGGAGACACTTCCGGGTCACATGGCCAGCGTGACAAAGCTGCATCTGGCGAGCCAGCGCAGCACACGGAAACGCCGTTTACCTTCCCGCCAGTAAGCGGTCCCTATTTATCTACTTGCACCTGGGGGTGCTTTCGAACTGCTCGGTTGGCAGGCGCTGGGACCGAGCAGTGGGAGCGCACCCCGCCGTGGGGATTCGAACCGCGGACCTTTCGATCGGCAAGCCCTAGGCGCTGAGGCTTTTACCCACAGTGCCACCCGCTGTAGCTAAGCTAGCGCCAAATGTCTTGCTCTGCTTTGAGGCCGGGGGGGGGGGGCAGGCAGGGCGGGTCTTGTTGTCTGGGCAGCCCAGGACCTCCATGCACAATGTCTAGGCTTGTGCCCCAGGGACGTCATTTCACTCCTGCTAACTCAGTGGTTTTAACTTCACCCCCAGAGGCACACTCCATTGGATGCCAGCAACAATCAGGGGACGCGTTCAAGCACAAGAATAAACTTGATCCATCAGGATGACCATTCTTTTGAAATGATCGCAAAGACGTGGCACCAAAGAATAATAAAATAAGTAACTAGATGTGTCCGCCCCAAAATATACTTTGGATGAGGATAAATTGTACATGCAAGTAAATAATAAGAGTGTTGTGTTCCAGGTGCCAATGCATCCTGTCTGGCCCAGAGCTTCCTGTGGAGGAGCATGGCACAGCCAAGGGCATCTTGGCACAGGCAAAATAGCCAACCTGTGTAGAAAAATGTAACTGGACCAACACCAGCTGATGACATGGCTCCCCAAATATCTTTTGCATCTCATTTGGAAACCAAGGACCCAGAGTCTGGAGAGAGAATGGGGAGGCACACAATGCCAGATGCTTGAAGTCCAGTGTGAAGTTTCCACAGTCTGGGTTGATTTGGGGAGCCATGTCATCAGCTGGTGTTGGTCCACTGTGCTTCATTGAGTCCAGGGTCAACGCAGCCGTCTACCAGGAGATTTTGGAGCACTTCAAGCTTCCTTCCGCAGATGAGCTTTATGGGGATGCTGACTTCGTTTTCCAGCAGGACTTTGGCACCTGCCCACACTGCCAAAAGTACCAAAACTGGGTTCAATGCCCATGGGATTACTGTGCTTGATTGGCCAGCAAACTCACCTGACCTGAACCTTTTCTCTTGGCATTGCCAAGAGAAAGATGAGAGACATGAGACCGAGCAATGCAGAAGAGCTAAAGGCTGCTATTGAAGCATCTTGGTCTTCCATGACACCTCAGCAGTGCCACTGGCTGATAGCATCCATGCCACGCCACATCGAGGCAGTAATTGATGCAAAAGGGGCCCAAACCAAGGACTGAGTACATATGCATGCTTCTACTTCTCAGAGGTCCATATTGCTCTATTTGCAATCCTTGTTTTGCTGATTTCATTTAATACTCTAATTTTCTGAGATAGTTAATTTGGGGTTTTCATCAGCTGTACACCATAATCATCACAATTATAACAAAGGATTGACATATCTCGCTTTGCATGTCATGAGTCTATCATTTCACCTTTTAAGTTGAATTACTGAAATAAATGAACTTTTCACGATATTCTAATTTTCTGAGTTTCACCTGTATAATTCACTCCTGGCTCACACCCACAAAAAGGGCCCAGATGCAGGTGGAATACAAGGGGCTTAAAGAATTTATTCCTGCCCAGGTATTTTGGCTATAGAATGATCTTATGAATGATACACACCCACCCACATCAATGCATTATCTCAGGTTCACACACCTTAAATGATGCGCCCGGTTTTCTGGATGGACTGCTAGTTATAGAAGCATTTTCAATTATCCACACACTGCATACGGCAACGTATCTTATTAGAAACCATTGACAAAGCCATGCACATTTTGATTGTATGTTTTCAAATCATTTAATGTGAAAAAGACAAAAAGCAGTTTTCATAACTGCTTTGGCTGTACATCATATCTTGTGTACACAAACCCCACTCCCACTTCAAAATGTACTGAAATAAATTCAGAGATAACACAAACCGCGGAAGTGTAGAGTCCGTGTGTGTGTGTGTGTGTGTGTGTGTGTGTGTACACATCTATCTATATTACTAAAACTGAAATCACTCCGAGATCACTTATGTGAGAAGAATAATCCTCAAGATAAGACTAAGGGGCTGCGCAACAGGTAGGGAGATCTGTATGTTGTTTTTGCTACCTGTTCTGTAATTTTCTATACTGTAAGGTCTGCAAGGAAGACTTGCTGGAAAAGGTTCTTCGGTTTCAAGCCTACTGATGTATGACATCAAATGCAATTTTGCAAATGCAAAGATAGTCTGGTTCTTACTTTTGAACACTGATTAGTAACCCCACAGACAAATAAATAATAATAATGCTAGTACAAGACATGATCACATCCAGATTGTGAAAAACACTCATTGCATTCCACTGGAAGTTCATGACAGCCATTCTTTTTTATTATTATTATTTCTACCCATCTTCTATAGCTTTCTGAGCTCACGGTACTTTGCTTTTTCCAAAAGTATTTAAAGCATGAAGATCAAAGCTTTTATTTGAAATATATACCTCTATTGCCACTATGGCAACATAAACAAAAGCTTCAGCACCCCTCCACGCCCCACTGTCACAAGTGTATCTTCCCACCTCCCACTGCCATAAGAAATATTTGTTGTTAAAATAAATTAATCAGCCAGTTGTCAAATCAAATATTATAAACTATAACAAAATATAATAAACTATCATCTGTATAATTGGGGAAACACATTTGTGTAGCATTAATTACATTTTAAGACTATTTTCCAAATATTTATGGAAAAATGTATTTGGTACTCATGTGCCTTTAGAAATACGAAGCCGGAGAAACTGTATGTCATAATGTCAGAAAATATTGATGTAACCAAGGAACTCACTTTAGGGACACACTCTGAAGCCTTTGTAGACACCTGGTGATTTTTTAAAAAGCTCTAACAGTGTTGAATGTGGATTTGACTTCTCTAGCAAAGCATGGAGGGGAATAAGGGGAAGAGAAGATGATAAGCAACAGCATTACCCTTCAAGTGCTACACAGATGAGCAAAATGGGCCATGATGTATATGCAGCAAACTGCCATTTCATACAGACTATGGCCGAAGTTGTTTCTCTGCCTCCTAGTATATTTTGTACAGGACTATTTAAATGTGGCTGTCTAAACTGTTTTGTTAATCACTCGTTTCAGGCAAAATGGAATATGTATATTAACATGCTTTACAGAACTGTCACACCAAGTGGCGGCAGGCAGGAAGCTTTTGCAGTTTTAAAATAAGAGGTCACAACCTAACACAGAACTGAACACATTTAAGCACCCTGATTTGGGCTTAAGCATGCCAAGGTCCATGTTGAGTTATGGCCAGCGTTTGTGAAACCTTTAAAAGCTGATGGGGGGGGGGTCTAATACGCAACCAAGTAGCGCCAGTGGTCAGACAATAGCACTGATGGCATAATTCAGTATCCTGGGGATGTAAACAGTGTGTTTAAACCTGGATCTGCCCTATTCCGTAAGAATGCGGCAGGTGCATGGGCTAATTTTTGAGCAAGAAAAGTGGTGTGGGCAAAGACTGCTACACCCTCTTGCCACTGCAGGCTTACTTTATCAGTCTGTGGCTAGTACTGCAAGTGAGCTTGGCTCAGAGCAGAACACTTGGGGGTGAAGGGCTTGCAGGGAGAAAAGTAGTGGCCAGAGAGGAATGCCTTCCATCGTATATTCTTTTTACTGCCAAAATAGGACCCATCCCTTTCTTCCTATGTGATTGAAGCAGATCAAGGTGTAAAAATATGTGGTTCTGTCACCAGGTGTTCACTCTGACCCGAGGTGGCAGTTGAAGGATGTGGCAGTTGACAAGTTTCAGCTAAAAGCCCCACACTTGTATTTTCAATTCAGATCAATGTATTGGGCTAAACTCTTCATACGAAGAACGAATTACCAAGCTTATTAAATAAAACCAGTACGAAAAAGCAAACTAGCCCTGACAATCGCTGCCTGGAACAGAATTGGTGTTGTTTCTGATTTACAAGGAAAGACATAATTATTATTTTTAGAAGAACATAAAACCTAACTTTACAAGAGCTCAGCTTCTCCTCACTATGACTCTATTCCAAAGCAACATTTCAAATGTGCTATCAGCATCAGAAGGGGAAAAAGAATAGCTGTGTTACTGAAATGAACGTCAGCGGGATGAACTGGCTTAGGGGCCAAGATGAAACAAAACAAAAGGAAATCAGTTTTAGGATGGTATAAATTGGCAGCTTCTTCAAATCTCAACTGCCACCTCCTTTAATGGTCAGTGTCTGTGATCAGGTTTTATGATTGCAGTTCTGGTCTTCCTGCAGTGCTTAATAAGTGTGTTTTCTTCAAAAAGAACCATCATTTCCAGCAAGCTTCCAGTCCTCCTTAGGTATAGATAGCTATGAAAATGCTACATACAAGGAAATTAAAAGTCCGATTTGCTATGGAGCTCCTTAGTACATCTCACAAATTTCCACTGTTTTGTTTCTGAATTAAGGCTTCACCAAGTATATAGTACCATTTAAAAAATGGTGCCACACTCCTTGCATGTGGTCCTGCTATGCTGTAAACGGTAGGCCTGCATCAGTTATTTTCGTGGGCAAAATAGTATCGAACTGGTGGTCCCGGCAAGTCTTCTTCACCATCTGTTTCTGGAGCAAATGATACTGTAAGGTCCACATACCTCTTATTCGCTGCTGGTTTCACAAGTTTTTGCATCCTACAAGACAAAAATCAAGTATCAGCAGGGCATCATAAATGAACCAAGCTCTCCTGAAGTACCACAAACAAATTCAAATTGCAACCCATATGAGAGAACTTGTTAAAGATGCAACGAATCTGGATCTGGCAAGTCCTGCATTCCAAGACACCACAGGTCTAGAAGGGAGATGGCTAAAGCTGATCTTATGAACTATGGAGCTAGGAGGGGGGAGAGAATGGGGTTAATTAAATTTTTGTTTCTTGCTTTGTCCTGCATTTGTCATGTGTTTGGGCAAGTGATGCAACTGGGAAGGGCAAGACGCTGTGATTCAGTATGCACAGAGGAGGAGATATGGCAATGGGATGTGACTAGCAAGATGAATAGAAGGTGACTTAAATAATATTGGGCTACCCTCCTCTCTAGCCCTTCTCTCATCTGCCATGCCAGCAATGCTCTCAATCTTAAAATAATGCTGTTCAAAATACCAGGGTGGTGAATTGGAAAACCTCTGCCATTCAGAATCTGATCCTCAATGAACAAGCTGACAGAGCATGAACTAAACAAAATCTGGGAAGAATCATGCTATCTGTGAGCTAATATACTGCATACCCCCTTCAGCTTTACTATTTAGTTAATACTTAAAGGTAAAGGGATCCCTGACCATTAGGTCCAGTCGTGGCCGACTCTGGGGTTGCGGCGCTCATCTCGCTTTACTGGCCGAGGGAGCCGGTGTACAGCTTCCGGGTCATGTGGCCAGCATGACTAAGCCGCTTCTGGCGAACCAGAGCAGCGCATGGAAACGCTGTTTACCTTCCCGCCAGAGCAGTACCTATTTATCTACTTGCACTTTTTGGCGTGCTTTCGAACTGCTAGGTTGGCAGGAGCAGGGACCGAGCAACGGGAGCTCACCCTGTCGCGGGGATTTGAACCGCCAACCTTCTGATCGGCAAGTCCTAGGCTCTGTGGTTTAACCCACAGTGCCACCCGCGTCTCTAGTTAATACTTACGTCAGCTTTAATCTTTTGACATGCCCAGGCATTACAGGAACATACAGCATTTTAACTCCCTGCACCACCATAGTTGGCTCAATTCCGTATTTCTCCTGTAACACACAAATACAACAATATTTGGAACTATACTGTGCAGAAAGTGAACTGGTTAGAAATTTAGGAGATATGACAGTTTATTAAAAAAAAACCAGACTGCGCTTGAGAAAAAAACAAAACCACCCTGTTACCCCAAATAAAATCAGGGGACCAGAAGACCCCCCCCCAAAAAAAAACCCCTAAGGGGGAAAGCGAGAGAAGGACTTGTGTGAAGAAAAAGAGACTGAAAATGCTCCAAAAACAGTCAAAACTCACCAATACAACAATAAGCAAATACAAAAGGAAAGAAGACACACAACAGTAAAAAAGCAAGGCTAGAAATGAGGGAAGAAAAACAGAACCATCTGGACAGCAGGCAGACAGGGGACTGGGAATCTGAATTTTCTGCCTGTGGATGCTAGGTGGCAGTTCTCTAGGAAGAATCAAAAGTTCCAGTAAAAAAATGAAGTAGACGTGACATGTTTTCCCACTCCATATGCTACAGAACATGAACCTCCATAGACAGAATGGATTACAACTTTTGTAAAGTAGTAAATTATATGGGCTGTATACCACACTGCAGTCCACCAGAACGAAAAACAGCAACACTATCTCCTCCATCTGTTTCTACTGCCTGTTTATCACAAATTGCTTACTTTGACAGCGTTTATGAAGTCCAAGAGTGTGAAATCATCTTTCCCATAAATAGTCCATCGATCCCAGATTGTAAAAGATATTCCATTTCTGTCAGAGAGCAAGAATGTAAAACAGTTTATCCAAGACACTGTGCTGCAGCACATTTTTCAATCATTTAGTATTGGTAATAACTAAAAAGTTGAACACAAGCTTCCCACCACAAAGCATAGCAAAAGAGGAAACAGGTCACTTTCCTATAAATTTCCACGCTCGTGGGTGTCAAATTGACGCTGCCTGTATAGCCAGGAGGAGTCATTATCCCAGATGCACTACCTGCCAAAATCTGCTACTTGAATACACCCATTGCTGAATCATTCATATGTGCCAATTACCTTATTTCAGTTTTCCTCACTTCAGCTGTTTCTGTGAAGACAATTATCGGAATGGCCAAGTTGAAAAAGCAGTTTTTGTATGCCTGAAAGGGGTAGCCACCCACAATTTTGATCAATTCCAAAGCAACCTAGGGAAGAAATGTAAGAAGTGGGAAAAATTTGCAGTAGCTTACAAACACAGAACTAAAGAAGATGTAGCTGTTCTGATCTGTACAATATGCAACATGAACCAAAGTAGTCTGGAATCAGTCTGGAAGATCAGAAAAAAATCTCTGAATTTAAACCCAACAGTGTGCCCCAGGCTGCTCTTTAATCCATTAACAGTTATGAAGGTATATGCGATAACTAGGAAAAACTGCAGCAAATGTTTCCATTTTCCCACCCCATAAATTGCTTATATCACCTCTTTCCTACAGCTGACATGCTGACTCCATCAAAGGAAAATTAAGGCCAAGAATCAAAATGAGACTACCTTCTATTCCCATGACAAACTAACATTGCTAATATAGGAAGAGAGCCTTCTGCCTTGCAAGGTTTGGCCAACCCAGCAGAGAAGCGAGCATTCGCGAAAAATGCGCCCTCACTCACCAAGCCAGACACAGCCGCTGTGGAAGTTGCAATGGCTGGGATAATCTTTCCGGCAATCCGTTTTGTTTTGAGCCGATCTGCTGGTTCAATGTTATACATTTTGGCTCGCAGATTTGAAGCTGCTGTTATGAAGTCTATGTGCCCGTTACTGTCATCATCCTTTTCAAAAGCGAGTTCCTTCATTTGTAAATCATCTGTTCGGAAACAAATTAATTCATTGTTTAGGAATCTGTGGTCTTTTAGTTCACAGAATCATAGAATTGGAAGGAGTGCCAAGGGTCATCTAATCCAACACCCTGCAATGCAATTTAATGAAATACATTGTTAGTTCGGTTGAATGAAAGCCTTCTCCATCTTGTGAGTAGATTATATTAGCCAATTTTGGTACTGGGTTCAGGGAGGCTCACCTGGCGCCATCATTAGATATGTTTGGCCTAAGTAACAGTTTATTTCATTTTGCGATCTGGGTTCCTTTTACCTATATTCCTTGGTCTCTTGTATTCCCACCTACCCTCCTTATCTGTTCAGGGTGTTATGAGTTTAATGTGCTCATGTTGATATTCTCTGCCTTGAGTGATTCTATTTGAGCTAATGATTCTATCTGAGCTAAAAGGATCCGATAGAAATATATTGACTGGAAATGTATTGTAACTTTTGAATAAATGGTTTCTGAATTGTTAAAGAAGACTCACTTTTTGTAGCTTCATTGGCCAATATGGCAGTCTCCAACTGAAGTACAGCATTCCTTTCATCCTCACTGCTTATCGGAATGGGATCTGGTTTCCTCACTGTTTCATCTGTTTGTACAACCTGAGAACATCAAAAGTAAATAGAATAAATGTTAGTGTGTGAATCTATTTCTGTACAATACCTTGATTTATTGAAGCAGATGGAGTTATTCATCAATAAATAACGTTTTAGTCAAATAGAAAAAAACCCTGTATTTTTTAGTTGCAATATTATGTAAAATGATAATCTGAAGAAGAGTGCATGCACACGAAAGCTCATACCAAGAACAAACTTAGTTGGTGCTACTGGACATTTATTTTTATTTTTTTAAATGTAAAATGAGGGAACATTTTCAGCCTGGTGGCCTGGATCCTGAGGTCCCCCACTCCGGCAGCTGCTTTGACAGGCGGGGCCACTCACCTGTCATCACCATGACACCAGATGACCCATTTTTCCTTTGCAATGTGGCTTGAACTCAAGAGGCACCGCAAAGGAACACCTTCCCAGGCAATTCAAGTGGGGCTTGGCAACATTGCTGATAATTTCAAGCCCTACTTGGACCAACTACATTCCAGAGTTTGAAGTCAAAAAATCCCAGGTGTAGCTGATCCAAGCAAGCTTTAAGTCACTGCCAATTAGCTGGCAAGCCTAAATTTCATCAGGCACCAGCTACACCCCAGAGCTATGCTTTGCAATTCACAAAGCACCAACTTCAAGCCTTGAAGGCTCTCATGATTCTTCCTTTGCAGCTATGTCAAAGGCTCCAGTCGTATATCTGAGCTCATGTGCCAGAATGAGGGAGGGGGAAAAGAGTTGAGCATGGCTTGGAGGAAAATGGCCTCATGGGCCAAGCTGGGACCCTTACTGGGCCCAATCAGGTCCACAGGCCAGAAGTGACCCACAACTGTTCTAAAACACCACATTTTGGAGCGATACTAAAGTAGTTTATTAACTCTGTCTAAAAATCAACAGTACAAACATAGATGGAACCTATGAGCCTACAATTAGAAACTTAAGGCAGAACTGCATGTGCACTTAAACAGAGTCTAATAATTTCTGTAAATGTGGGGTTTGGCACAAACAGCACATTTCCAGCACGTCTCCAACAATTTTTGGAAACATGCTTCCTAAGACTATATCACCGAAGGAGGGGCTTTGCGCTAAGAAAACCAGGTCTACACTAAATATAATTTACCTTTGTTGTCGGAAAGTTAGTTTTACAAATTCTTGCATCAATTTTAGTAAGCATTTAACCAAAAACCTGGAAATATTTGCATGCTAAATATTAGTACGGAAACACTTATAGAAGAGGGACGGGGAGCTTGTGGCTGTCCAGATGTTGCCAGACTACTACTCCGCTCATCTCTGACAATAGGGCATGCTGGCTGGGGCTGATGGGAGTTGGAGTCCAACAACATTTAAAGGGCCACAGCTTCCTCCCTCCTGCTTTAGAGTATTCCAAGCCCTGGCACAAATTACATCAGGCATAGGCAACCTCGGTCCTCCAGATGTTTTGGGACTACAACACCCATGATCCCTAGCTAACAGGACCAGTGGTTAGGAATGATGGGAACTGTAGTCCCAAAACATCTGGAGGGCCGAGGTTGCCTATGCCTGAATTACATGGTCATATTGTTTACAGCCGCCCTATAAAGGTAAGCCAGAAGCCAAGAGAGAGCAGTGACTTCATGGCAACTGCTACAATACTGGAGAACTGGGAAGCAGCCTACAGAATATCATGCGTAGGATGAATAAATAACGGATCATCAAGAAAAGGGGAGTAGTGAAGAGGAATATTATTTAAATGAGCTTACTTTGTTAGAAGGCCGAAACTCTTGAATCCTCAGTCCGGAAATGATCTTTAAAATGGTTTCTTCTGACATATCCTGTGTTTTGTTAAAACAGCACCAGTTAGCATGAATGGGTGAAACAACGTGTGCTCTGCTCTTCAACTTTAAGCGAAAACTAATTAAGAATCCACTTATTGCAATAAATGTCCAAGGAACCTATAACTTATCAAGTGTGTGGATTATGAACATTTCCTAGCAAACTCTTCTACAAAAGCTGAACCTTGTATACCTTGCACACATTCCAAATAAAACTCATTTTTTTAAAAAAAATGCATGTGGACTAATAGATATTGCTTTCACACCAGACACATAAATATACACAAAGGGAAGTCAATTTTGCATTTATTTTAAGTTAGTTTGCAAGTGCATTATTAAAAGTAGAGATTGGCCAGGACACAAATTACAATAGTCCAGGCGACAAGATTAGATTTCAGTGCATCTGTCAAAATACGTTGCAAGAAAGAATTCTATCAAAGTGAAATATCAGGAAGAATAATTCATTGAGGAGGGATATAGGTCTCATAACTTATTCAAAGCATCTTTGGACATACTGAAGATTCCTGAAGGTAATTCAGTCACTGCCAGTAGCAGGAGTAATGCTTTGTCTAAAAGTTGGATTTTGGAGCATATTTTTCCTTTGTAACAAAAACGCTTCACTTATCAAAGGATTCTGAAAAATTATCACAGAGAGCCAAACAGTGCAAATTCTACACCCTCCAGCTGAAGGCTTACCTTTTCTGTAAAAGGGATGCAGTAAATAACTGCAAATAATTTTGCTGTACTCAATATGAAGCTGTAGTGCCTGAAGGAAAAAGGAGATCGGGGTGGGTTTTTACTCCATTTTCCTGCATTCAGATATACTGCAAACCTAGCTAACAGTGGGTGGGGTGGGAAGGAGAAGAAATTCACTGAGCAAGTGAAGCAGAGGGGCTGAAAGAACAGGGGGCAAGGTTGCCTTTGAGAAAATGCTTACCTGCTTAGCGTGTTTGCTTTTAAGTGGCAAAGATTCAGAATACACCTACTTCAGAGAAATTTCACATAACAAATCCCTTCAGTCTACAACCATGAACATATATGTAGGAATGACCTGTACTTTGTAATGTATAGCATGCAGAAGTGTGAGTTCAGAGTTCTCCCATCTAATTATGATGAATTCTTTTTTAAAAAGTGAAGAGAAAGAACTGGGGAAAGATGGGAGGTGCAGAATGATATGACTTAACAGAGGAGGATGCTGTTCAAGCTATAAGGAAAAGTCTGGCAGAAGTCACAAAGCTGGGAGCAAGAGGGAGCAAGAACTAAAGGAAGCTGCCTGCTAAATATGCAGCACACATGAAAAATAAAAGTGACAAACAGAGGGAGCAGAACTGGATAGTTCAAAATAAGAGGGGCAGAGAACCTTCTTTAGGAACTTGACATTGCCAGGAAGTGCTAATATTCCAGACCCAAAATGTAGACTGCTTGCACTTCCTCTCTCCTTTTAAATGAAGCAAAAGGAAGGATTATGAGATGCAAGCCCTGGCACTGCTTCTGAAGGAATGCAAAACCGCACTACAGGGATCCTTCAGAGCTCACTGTGGATCATACAGAGACTGGAAGCACAGTGAAGGTTTGCCATATGGAGATGTTGGTTGTCGGAAAGCAGAAAGGGGTAATGTAAGACTTGGAAGTAGAAATGTCCAGTCAATATCTATTTTGCTCAGGAATTGATAATGTTAAATTTGAACTGTCGTTCTTAGTAGATGCTTACAGCAAATCCCCAAAATGCTGCCTAAAGTTGAACTGCAGTTTTGCGTGGAAAATGCGAACAAGAAAACTGGGGGGGGGCAGCATAAACAAACATGCACATGAGGCAACTCTCATGAAGATATCTGAAGTTTGATGTATGGCAAATACTCAAAGAAAAAACTGCTGTCGAAAGGAAAGAAGTCACAAAGTTACACATTATTTGATGTGGGTGGGTTTCAGATTAGAGGAGTCAACAGATTATTCTAAAGGCCATATAGGTTTTTAGGACATCTTCTTTGAAGAGATCGTCTAATAACACACCTTTTATATGAGTATCAATATGCCCACAAACAGATCATGTGAAGTTCTTTGCCCCTTACAATAACAATAGTGGAAAGAGAGAGATTTACTCACAAAGGATCGTTGATATCAAACTGTATCGGGAAAGGCGGTCTCTTTGGTGACTGCCAAAATAAACCTGGTGGTTTGAAAGAAAGCATTTTGAATCTTAAAATGATTAAAGTTAAAAATACATCAATCATATCAAAATTAATTAAACTTTTACTGTACTTACTGCCATCTTTTAATCGTGTGTCTATGGGAAATGAATGAAGTAACTGGAGTGCCTAGATGGGAAGAAATACTCTCAATTTAGTGAGATAACGTACATCAGCACTTGTTCACATTACTGAAACCTTGCAATTCATTCTGCTGCTCTAAAGCCAACCGTGTTTTTAACAGAAAGGTAGAAAGCATTCTCATTAGCTATTAAAATATTCAGTTCTAAAACACTTTCTGGCAAATTCGTCCCTAAGCAAAATTGTTTTGAGTTCCGTATCTAAATAATGAAGGAATTAAAGTCATAGCTGTCAAGTGTCGCTTATTTGAAGGGACAGTCCCTTATTCCAGCGCCATGGCCCGCTGCTGTCCCTTATTGATGGATGTCCCTTAAATTTCAAAGGAAGCAGCTCCTCTCCCTCCCGGCCAGGGAGGAGGAAGGCTCCAACTGTGTTGCTTGGCTGTGTTGCTCACCCAATAAGAAGCCTAAGAACGACTGGGGGGGGTGGAGCTTGCATGCCTTGTGTGTGGCTAGTTAATGCAAGCTGAGGAGGTTTTTGAATGCTGGACGCCATTTTGTTGCACGTGCTGCTGCAAACTTTGCAGTGCAAAGCCAGGCCGGGGAGCCATCTTAACTTGAGGCTGCATAGGCCTTGTGGTGCATGTGATTCAGATTCTATTCAGTTGAACCACTGGTTACAAAGTTGGTTGGACAGTGTTCTCGAAGCTACCCAGCATGAGTTTGACCAGACTGCAGGAGGACAGGAAGACTGGAGTGCCTGGAACAGGTGAGGCTGCAGGTCCCTTATTTTGGCTGCAGGTCCCTTATTTTCAAATCTGTAAGTTGACAGCTATGTAAAGTATGTCTACCAAATGTAGCTCTATCGGAATGCCTTACTTGCCATAGAAGGGTAATTTAAGGCACTTCAAGGATAGACACCTTTGGCAAGACTTGGCTTCCATTCTTTTCCTTTATAAATGAGACAGAATATACTTTTATTCCACCCACAACACAATAATCTCTATGGAGAGGATATTTGAATTGACAATGCATAAATAAACATATTGCTTGTGTACTGTCTACAGCATATGAAACTTAGTAACTGTAGTTATATGTTGTTCTTGTATTAAAATGAAAAGCAGTAAGAATTATTTGGATTTTTAAAGAAAAGTATGTCTACCAATACAACTGACATCATTTCAAGATAAAAGATAATCCAATGCTAGTGAAACCACTGAGGTCTTCCCCTCATGTTAAAAAGGTTTAGACAACAGCTCAGCGAGCATTAAATGCACATTGCAAATTGACAATTTAAAGAAATCATAGCATCAGCCACCAGATTAAAACAGATCTCAAATGCTCACCTTATGATTAAAATATTTCTCAAACTTTAATCTTGCTAATTCAACACACTGGGGCCAACTTCTGGGCCTTCTACTAAGGCATTTAATAACTTGGAAAGAGCCTTCCAAACTCTCGCCAGACTTTATTCTCTAGGAAAGGGAAAATAAAGGTGGAAATGGGAGAACACGCACAAGTCAGCAAACCCATTATTATTCATGAAGTATCACCCACGTCACAATTCATTTCCTGCTTCCATTTAGATGGAAACCAGTAAACTGGACCAACGTACTACAGGGACAGCGAACACGGCACCCTCCAGATTTTTTTAGACTACAACTCCCATCATCCCTGATGACTGGCAATTCTGGTGGGCTGATGTGATGTGTAGTCAAAAACACCCAGAAGGGAACATTTTGTCTACCCCAATCAACTAATACAATTTGAAATGCATATCATTTTTACTAACTGCTTCTGACAAACAGTGAAACATGCAGAGACTAAAACCAGCAGCTGTAAAATGGAAGTTCCTCAGATTCATCTGCTACTGCTATTTAGAATACCTGCACCAAGCCCTTGAAATTATTCAAAAGAAGCTTAAAATGCAAATTCCGCCCAATTCGCTTTCCTTTCTAGGTAGAATTAAGTTGCTACTCCGGTCCAAACCTTTGTATACCCCAAGCCTGGAACAGCATGAAAACATAGGGGTCTTAGTTAGATTTCACCACTGTATTAAAATCAGTCCATATTACCAGCTAATAATAATAATAATAATAATTTATTATTTATACCCCGCCCATCTGGCTGAGTTTCCCCAGCCACTCTGGGCGGCTCCCAATCAGTGTTAAAAACAGTACAGTGTTGCATATTAAAAACTTCCCTGAACAGGGCTGCCTTAAGATGTCTTCTGAATGTCAGGTAATTATTTATCTCTTTGCAAGGCTCAGCACAGCAAAGTTAAAACGACATCCAGAGTAGCTTTATGCGCAATAAAGTTAGCTATTACCTGTAACACCTCTTCTGCTGATGGATACGTTTGCCAAAACTTGTTAAACAGGGAAGGCTTGTGTGAAAAAGCGCTTTCAAACTAAAAGAAAAGGAGTTATGAGAAAATAGCATTGGATTTCCTTCCCATCTCCAACTGTGTTTTTTGGGGGGTGGGGTATGTTGGTGCCCTTACTGAAATGTGTAATTCTCCTTCATTTCAGTGCAAGAGAACTTCCCACTGAATTGTGCCCATAATCACAGAATTGTAGAGTTGGAAGGGGCTACGAGGGTCATCTAATCCAACCCCCTGCAATATATCATGCAATAACAAACAGACAAACTTGCCTTGTCTCTTGCCCACTGTATTGTGTGCTCAGTGGCAGCTGGGAAAGACTTTAAAGTACAAAATGGTATTTCTTCTTCAGGTGGATCTCGCTACATGTAAAAAAAAAAAAAAGGACAAAAGATCAAAATGTATCATGTACACATGCAGCTGTTTTACCTCTTGCATTATTTATTTCTAGTATCAGATCAATTTCTTTCTGTACTCCAGGGGTTGTTGTTGTTTAGTCGTTTAGTCGTGTCCGACTCTTCGTGACCCCATGGACCAGAGCACGCCAGGCACTCCTGTCTTCCACAAGAGGTTTCCAGGGGTAGGAAACCTATGGTCTTCCAGATGTTCCTGGACTACAAACTCCCAACATCCCTGCCTATTGCCACTGCTGGCTGGTGTTGATGGGAGCTGGAGTCTATCAAGATTCGAAGGGCTCTGGTTCCCCACCCCTGCTATACATACTTGCCTGGGAACAAGTCCAATGAATTCAACTGAACTTCCTTCCAAGCACTCATGTATAGGTTTGTGCTTTTAGTATCAATTACTGACAGGTTACTATATTTTTCTTTACAAATGAATATTTATTTTGAGATATACATATATCCACACATACAGAACCCAAATTGAATTGTTACAAGGCCAAGAAGGTTTCCAAAAGTATCGACCTCACAGAAGCAGATTGCCATAAAAGCCCCAGTAAAAAATACCACTCTATACAATACAATTAATTGAGCTCTTAAAAGAACTTTTTACCTCTTGGCATATATACACTTTATTGACTGGCATTCACAAAGCCATGCAATCCCCCCCCCCCCCCCCGCTTTGGCACATAGCAAACCACTTTTGAAACTGAGGGGCCTTTCAAAAGCAGCATTGGGATTTGGAATTCAAAGTTTTAAAAAGTGGAGGGGGGGGGGGGAGGAGAGAGAGAGAGATCACAATGGGCATGGCCAAGCTCCCGAGTGCACTTAGAGCCAGCTCTGTGATTTTACAATGCATCTACAAGAATGTTCCAAAGGACCACGCACTTTATGGAAGAGTAAGGAAGAGATATGGATTCATCAAGCTAAGTACAGTACTTTTCCATCTATAAGGCGCCCCCATGTATAAGGCACCCCCTATTTGGGGGGGGGTCAATTTTAAGAAAATGGGGGGAGATGGCACAGAGTTGTTGAGCTTTTTTGGGGGGGGGATGCCCACAGCTGTTGAGCAATTTTTTTGGGGGGGGGGATGCTGAACCAAATATCGCTCACCCAACTGGCAAACACTAACGATCGCTAGATCCTCCTCTGCGGATGCAGCCATCTCCCCCTCTGCACTACCCATGTATAAGACAACCCCCCTTTTTTTTCTTTATTTTGGAGTAAAAAACCCTCATCTAATACGCGGAAAAGTACGGTACATTGTTTTTGTAAATGGAGCACTTACATGACTGTTGTACGATTCTGTTAGGTGAGGCACAATGACTTCTGTATGCCCTTTGGTCCCATCGTTCCGGAATCTAAGAGAGGGCGCAAGCTTGCCAGACAGCGACTAAATAGAAAAAAATAAGTGAAGAAAATGAATGCATCAGGATAGATGCCAGAGTGCAGGGGGGGGGACAAAAACCATGGTATGACCTCATGGCTTTGGTTTAATTGGTTTAAAACAAGGGATTTCAGTCGTTGCAGGAATTAACTAGTGGCCTATCCCTATAACCAAAAAGAGTATTTTCAATTTATCTACTGGCTTTCCAATTAAAAATAATGCTTGGCAAGTTTAAAACCATTTATATCATGAATAAATTAAAAATTACTGATAAATCCAATATAGATTTGGTGAATCAGGAAAAGATCTTCAATTTGGCAAGTCAAAAAAGGAAGGTCTTCATAAGGCCAAAGAAAGGCAAGAATGTGGTTTGAGGAAGCATATCATTAATGGAATGCATTATCTCCACGGAATAGGCAAGTATATTAATATCTAAGGCACACAATTCCTGCACCTGAGCAAGATTTTGAAACATATTTCAGACAGTAATCTAAAGCACCAAAACTCTAGATGGAGAAACAGCTCTATGGAACCAAGGCCTGGCCATATCACACCCAGTGCCTACATTTTAACGCAACTGAGAACAGTAACTAAGAAATGCAAAATTCCGGAAATGCCCTGTGATCAGAATCTGCTTTGCTTCCTTTTTTCTCAATCTTTATGCCTCTGTGGTTTGCAGAAGATGAGCCTTCCTAGGAAGAATTCTACAGCTTAGAAACAGCCACAGGGAAGGCTCTCTATTGCCACACTTCCTCTAACACATGGAGAAACACCTCTTCAGTAGGTCTTACTGAGCACATACACTCATTTGGGAGGAGGCAGCCCTTTAAGTATCTTGAGCCTAAGATGCTGAGTGTCAGTACCACTATACAGCAACATTAGAGAAAAGGGGCAAAAGTTTCCCAATGCAAATGTAACACAGTGTTTATCTGCCCATCTGTCCTTTGTTGCCTTCTTAGCACCAACGGTAGAGGCCAAGGGGCCAATCTGGATCAGAGCACAGGGGAGAGCAAAGAAGTTAAAGGCTTGGGGTCCAATCCAGATTGGGGGCTAGTGGAATTCATTTATTTTATTAAATTTATACACTGCCATTCATCCGAGGACCACAGGGCTGTTTACAGTATAGAAGTAGTCCCAAATTGTGCTGGCTATCTTCTCTTTAAAAACAAGCACCACCTATTCACGCAGTTGCTATGTGAATGGTGTTGCATCAAGTTAGGACCTCAGATTTATATACTTCTAGACCATGCACAGTCAGAGCACATAGTGTAGTGTAGGAGCAAGCCTTGGGCTTGCTACCAGATGTATATATTTTAAAGTGTCACAAACCCAATGCATTTGTAAGCAGGCCCCCCATGAGATTCCATAACACTTTAGATACAAAAAAAAATTCCTTCCAGTAGCACCTTAAAGACCAACTAAGTTCGTTCTTGGTATGAGCTTTCGTGTGCATGCACACTTCTTCAGATACCTTAGAGAAAGTGTTGCATAGTTTTCTTGCATATTCAGTGGGATACGTGGATTGTAGAGGGTTCTTAATTCTAAGACCCTTGGGTATAACGTCCAGGTTCTTGCATTTAGTAAGAAAGAAGATATCAGTCTGTACCTGTGCAAGTTTCTTGGTGAGGTTGATGGACTTCCATTTCATGCGGCTCAATGTGGTGCCTTCCATAGTTCCAGTTACAGATAGGTAGCCGTGTTGGTCTGCCATAGTCAAAACAAAAAAAATTCCTTCCAGTAGCACCTTAAAG